TGTTAGCTTTTTTACCTTTTAGTTGTCTTCCATATGTCTTCTGTTTAGGTCTCCATATAAAGATGAAAGTTGAAGTGAAAAGGTCCAGGTGTCTTGCCCTGCCAAATTCTAGCACTTTCCCTGGTGTTTCTTAATTTCTAAACATAGGCTCCTTCCTCACACAACTTTTCTCTCTTGGCTCCAGCTCTGAGCAAGAAGCTGATCAAAGAGGAGGTGGCAAGGTTTAGCTGTTTGATTGAATACTAATAACCAAGTTATGGGTGATGAAATGAGGTACCAGTTTCTCATGCAATATTGCCACTGAAGCCCATTTCACATGTTGCATGACTGAAGTGAGCAGGGTTTCATCCCACCTTGGAATTGGTGATTTCCTTTCCAGCAGGCACAAAGCTAATGTCTCTGATTTGTTGGTGTTTTAATATAATTTTCTTCCCTCTGTACCTTTCCATCTCTACAGAGTATTAAATTAGACCAATTTTCTTAGTTCACACTTCAGTATAGCGGTTGAGTGTTTTAACTTTCATAAATTCAAACAAACTAATATTTAAAATGTTCATAAATATTTTATACTTACCCATTATAAGCAACATGGCAGAAAACACTTGGGTGCAATTGAGTGCAACAATAAATTACTTAAGAAACACCCTGTTGTGCTTGTGTGTCAGACAAGCCTCAACTGAGAATCTCTTGTCTTTGATCATGAAATGGCAGACTACTCATGTTCTTTTAATGTAGAGCATGCTGGGTGCCTTTCCCTTTCTGGATGTACAGACTGTGCATCAACAAACTAGAATCAGTTTGAGTACAATATGCACTCAGAACTAAGACAATCAAGTGAATCCTGGTAGTCATTGTTTGGTAGAGTCTGTTCAAGTGATTTTTGTTTGCCCTCAAGTTCAGGACTGAAAACCACATATTGGGCTATAATTTGGGAAACTTGGAAGTGTGCAGCCAAATAAAAATACATATGAAAGCCACAGTGGCTATAGCACCATTAAATCTTATTAATACCTTGGTTTTATAGAAAACTGTCATAGTGATATGGTAGATCAGTATTGCTTTGTGCCTATATAGCACCTTTCAACCAACAGACTTTGCAAGTAATTTCTGAATTAACTATTTGGTGTACAAGCTGTATGTGGATGTGATCTACACTAGGGATCAAAAGTGGCAGTTGTTCAGCAATGTACAGTACAAATCTGGTACAGAAAATGGAAAAGCATATTGTGGAGTCTTTAGCTTAGTCTGCAAGAGTGGTTGATGTTGGGCAGATAGAGTTACACAGGTCAGGATTTTCTCTGCTGGTTGCAAAGGTCGTACTAGTTCTGAGAGGAAAATACAGGACTAGTGTGGGGTTACTATGCTACCTATACAGTCTGCACTAGGAGTGCACTGGGGCCCTGGCTTAGTGCTAGCAAGCACAGAGAGCTTCTCCTGACCTGATGTCATCATTGCTTCCTATTAAGCAGTGTTTGTTTCTACTTACAAGCATCTTCTAGCTGAGATGTTTTCTGAAATGTTTTGTTCCAAGTGTCAGGTTGCTCTAGCACTGCTTGTTTTGTGAAACGTAGCAGAATCATGTCTCACAGCATGATCCTGGCCATGAGCTAAGAGAATTTGTTTTTCCCCTTGCTAGGAGCACTGGGAGGCAGGGAAAAATTCTCTCTATGGAAGAGTTGTTTTTTATCTGCTTCCAAACTTTGCTGGTGTCTTGCAGTTTGACTTGCAGATTTTTCTGGCTGACAAGTGCAATACTTAGACTGAGTGATGGATAACATATTTTTTGCAAGCTTCTGTGCCATGTGGAATTTGCTGATGATTCTGGGTCCTTGCTAAAGCTGGTAATTACTGCTCATTTAACTTGCTGTTGATTTGCACCCTCTTGGGAAAGCTGAAAATGACAGTGGAGAAAGAGCAGTCTTGATGATTTGCTTTTAAATTTCCAAGTTTTGTGGGCTTTAATTTCTGACTGTTAACTAGACTATCAGAGCATTGGTCTTCAAACAGTGGCGTGTATGACTGCAAAGGCATGCATCTGTGTATCAGAGTTTTCAACTGTTCAGCTGTTGTGTAAGACAAACTTTTTATTTTAACTTAGGAAAGGGGAGTGCTGCTGAAAATTTGTGAGGGCTTACACTGAGAAGTTAGCTAACAACCTTTCTAATGGACTGTATTGCAAAGAAAAAAAGGTTAGGTA